CTGACACCTTGCCGCAGGCAGACAGCAGAATATTTTGTAGATTGAAATACACTTTCTCTTTAAATTTCTTATTTTTACAATTGAGGGAAAAATATTCTTAGGTTATATTAGCTTATGAATTGAAGTCTGTCAGCTTGATCAGGAAAAAAAAAATGCTGCAGCTTTCAGCATTTATGTTACCACCCACCCTGGCAAGGACTGGTGCCAGCCAGTAGCACTCTCCATGTCTAATTCGGTATTGTAAAAATCTGTACCCTATAATATCTGTATAAATCCAATCATTTGCATTTAAAATTTATGCTGTGGGAGAAGGTGTGAGACCTGCTTAGTCCAAAAGGATGACTAGAATTTGATTAGTTACTTGCCTTCATGACCAAAGTTGTATTTAAGCAATCCTTTAAAGACACATTGTTGTTACTACTGAGCTTAACTCATTTAGCATTTATTTTATCTTCTGCCCAGAGAAGCTGTGGATGCCCCATCCCTGGAAGTGTTCAAGGCCAGGCTGGATGAGGCTTTCAGCAACCTGGTCTAGTGGAAGGTGTCCCTGCCCATGGCAGGGAGGTTGGAACTAGATGGTCTTTAAGGTCCCTTCCAACCCAAACCATTCTATGATTCTATGATTTTGCCAAGGTAATTAAGAATCTAGCCAGCTCAAGGCTCTTCTATTAAAAAAATATTAAACAAGAGATGATTTATATCTAATTCTTTACTCATTCCCTCTTTCTGCCTTTCCAGTAAGTATCTTCTCATAATTAACAGTTTCTAATTCAGATGAGGAAAGAAAAAACTGTGTGAAATTCAGGCCCACGTTTGAAACGCTTAACTCATTCTCCAAGACTCCTCTCACATTCTGACCCCCAATAAAACAAGTCCCTTGGAACCTGTATCTAACTCCTATTTTTTAATGGTATTAGTTTCAGGAATTTTGTTTTGTTTTGTCAAGAAAAGTGCTCAGAGGTTGATATACTATGCCACAGAACCTCCATGCAAACACCCTAAATACCAGGCAGCTCAGCATTTCCATTGTCCGTAGCACATTGCTGTAATGCTTTCAGACATGCTTCCTCTCGGCATGTCCTTTTGTCTCTGCGCATATGGAGGTTACCAAGAGGTCAGCTTAAATCATTTAAAGATCTGATGATGCTTTCTAGAATGCTTGAAAATTTTCAGTTTGACTGGTGCTTATGCCGTGGATCAGGTTGCTTGTATTTGTTTTCCCAACCCCACACATATTTTTCTCATTTTAGTCAAGTTACAAAAGGACATTGGAAGAAAACAAGTTTTTTGTTTTCACATTATTTATCTTGTCCTTCAGTGCAGTTCTTTCCTGAAATGTAAGTCGTTTGTTTGTGATTTCAGTTTGTAATATCAGTCTCAGACTCACCATAAGAAAAATAGGAATTCAGCAAGAGTAAAGCAGGTGTTAGGCTAGAAAGTAATTTCGCTGAGAAAAACATGTCAGACTACAGACTCCCGAAGAGTGAGCATAGCTAAGAATGGTTATCAGGATTTAGAGCAGAAACCTTGAACTGCAAAAGTGGGTTTTTTATTGGGGAAATATTAAGGAAATACGTGGCACTAATATTGCCAGAGCAACTGCCCTCCCCTGAGCCAGAGCATTCTGCTACAAAGAGCCTAGATAGAGTACACAGTTGGTTCCCAGGAAATGGTAGCTTTTATTATCTCTTTTGCAAATGTGGCTATTTCCAACACTTGAAGCCATGTAAACATTTTAAAATAAAAATCACGGACAGAACTGCAGCTCTCAGTACACATGTATAAAACAACTCCACACTGCGCTGCTACGCTTGTTAAGAAAAGAGACCAGCCCTCTCCCTCTAAGTGAACAGATGTCACAACCATCATTTTTTTGCAGCACCTACTCATATTAGACCATGCCCCATCAAAAGTAAACTGCTTTTCTCCAAATCATAAAAAAAACTATTGTATATTCTGAAGGTATTAACTCAGTCAAACTTCATTTACAGTCTTGAAGCAAAACAACAAACTTGATGCAACCCTGATCCTTTCCCGTTAGTCCTGTTTGTACTAAAAATTAAATTAAAAAAGCCACCTACAACAAAATAACCAACAGGAAGCCTTGAAGATACAGTATTGATCACCCCCCCCCATTTGGGTACAGAATTAATCAGAAAATTCTGAAATACTCCTAGTTTCTCGTTCTTTTAAAGACAATAGATTCTAGTACCTGCCAGTCAGCATGATAACCAGAAGTTGCCACTTCCAGCTTACTCAGTGGTCCAATCAGGGCAAATGTCGTATTCTCTGTAAGTCAAGATTTGCAGTAAAAGTTCTTTCCATATGTTTTTTTTTTTTGCTAAATGTTTGAAAGTAAAATTAAAACAAAAAGTCTAGCTAATGTTTTGGGTTATTAGAAAATTTTAATACAAGAACTAATCTAGATGTCCTATTGCAAAAAATCAAGTCTTGCATAGGCTGCTTGTTAGTGTTCACCAACTACCCTGTTTCACATTATGAAGTGTAATAATAAACACACTTGGCCAACATTAGACTTGACTGTGCAGGAGGATTTAGAATTATGAGCATCTAAGACACCAGAGCCAGGTACCTCTGTGTCATTTTGCCCTCAAAAGTAAAAGTGAACAAGGTCTCAGTAAGACTAAGGACAACACCCCGGACACTTAACGGCGGGTCACATGGAAACGGCCAGTGGGCAGAGTCCAGCGCGCACATAACTAGCCCGGCTGTGCCCATCTGTCTCCCCAGCCTGGTATCTAACAGCACCAACAACAAAAACATGAAGTGAAATGTTTATCTCTATGACAGGGAGAGAAATACAACGTCTGTATCTAATAAAAGAATAAAAATAAATGGTACTAAACTGCTCATGTCAGGACCCTGAGGGCACTAATAAGCCCCCCACACCTCTTTGTGGGCTTCACCCTCCCACCCACAGCCCACGTCAGCTCCGGGAACATCAGTCCCTGCCCCAGTGATGCCACAGCAGGGCCGATCTCCAGCTCCCCACAGCCCTGCCCTGCTCAGCCATGGGTCCTGCCAAGCTGGGGCCACCTGTGGGCCCACATCCCAGCCAGGCTTCAGCCCCAAAGAGGTGCCTGATGGGGCTGCCCTGCTCCCAGCTAGGGCAAGGCCCCATTTTTCTTTAATTACTAAATTAACAAGCTGTTAACTCTGCTGTAGCATTGATGCTTATTTGCCAATTTCAACAGCAATTTTGAAAGCAGTCCCTCTTCATGGCCTGGCAGGTAGCGCTGACACATCCTTTATAAAGCCTCCCGCACTGGCAACCACGCAGGCCCTCCGCAGATAAAAAATAATATTAATTGCTGGCTCTGGGAAAGACTCTGGGATAAAGGAAACTACAAAACACCTTATTAGCCTTGTCTTCTCCTTCACTCACAGTTTACCTTCAGGTTACGTCCCGCAGATTAGTCCAATCTTGCTAATGGGCATAACAAGAGAAACTCTCCAGCTGCACTCATCACTCTTAAACAGCCGTATAAAGTCTGCTCTGCTAAAAGGCAGCAGGTCACAAGGGAAAGTCATTTTTCAAACCTCCAACACAATTGGCATTTTTACTCTCAAGCAGCCTCAGATAAGGTTTGCAGACTCAGTCAGGGAACTTGCTTTCTTCAATTTTTAATGCCTGCCTATTTCACCCATCCTGGGAGAGCGGGATATCTTATTCAGTGTACAACAAACGGATAGGTTTGAGAGGCAGAGGGAAAGGAATCAGAGTCAACTATCAATCCCTCAGAAATGGAAGTCTGAAGAAAGACAAAAGTTATAGAGGCAAAACTGTCATAATTTCTAATCCAGTCCAAAGATTCCTTCTACCTCCTGCCATAAACTGCTTCTTTGCTTAGGTCGGTACACACCTTGAGCACAATTCAGTTAAGATTTTTTTCATCAGACTCAAAAATGCTGGAGATCCAGCCATTCACACATGCACATATACATGCATATACACACAAAAAAATCCCAGATGTTTTTGAAATTAGCAGCTATATATGTCCTAAACTTCTGCACTAGTGCTAAACTGATCCAGGTGTTAACACAAGGGTAAAAAAACAGATGCAACATTCTAAAGTGATTTAACGCGTTAAGCCATATGTCCAGCTTCAGTATTGCTAATAGTCCCCATATGCTGAAAATGAACATCAGCATTTGAAGTAGAGAACATATTTTAAAGAAAAAGGAGAAGTCCCAAATGTGCCCACAGGAAGCCATTGACCAGCCCTCTCTCACATAAAATAGATAGGCAATGATGGACTGGCAAGTCTCTGCTTAGAGGTTCTTCGTTGCTTTTCCTCAAGATCATTTTAGAATATCTTTTTATTTACTCCTTTTTCATAAATAGCAATGGAAAAGCACCCTAGAGTATTTTTACAGTGGACCTTAATGACTCATCCTAAAGATGTTTTCAAGACTGTATGTTACTTGTATAGACAACAAGGCTGCGAACACAGCCAGAGCCTACTTCTTGGAGTACAAACAGCTTCACATCCCCAGATCATACAGCAGCTGAGTATGTTCTATACTTTCCAGTTTGGAGTTCCCTCCAAACTACTGACAGGCACTGTTATGCAGGTGCATGATCAGAAAGCAAGCAAGTAGAGCTTGTCATACTTCAGACAATCCCATACTTATATGCAGCCTAAAGTATACACATAGTCTGTATTGGTAGGATCCTATCCAGCACATCGAGATGTCTTAAGAAACTATTAAGCATAAGAATATGAAAATGCATTCACTTAAATGTTTCATTATAGACTCCAGGGAACTATTTGCCATCCTGGTAGATTTCTGGTGGCAATTGTGTCTTACATGTTTTGTACTAAACTTAATTCCTCCTCAACAGCTGTGAAAGTGAAATTCATCTACAAATCCAGCAGGCAATAAAGTTCTAGCCATGCCACTTCTCAAAAAAGATCTCTATATTTTATATCAACTAGGGACACCTGCGGGAGACCAAATTCTGTGCATCCTCTGGGCTTCAAGTTGCAGCTTTCAGTTTCTCTTAAGAACAAATTTTCTCAGGTGAATCTCTAACGAAACAGCTAATAACTCAGCCGTTTTCAGATGGGAAATACTGAGTAACAACTAGCAAAGTGATATATAGGATCCTGAGTTGCTGGCCAGGCTCTGAGAATAGGACTATACCTACCAAACAGATGAAGGAAAACACCTCAGTTCAAATAATATTTTAAATTAATTAA